CATTTGAGTAAAAGATAAGACCCAACCAAGGGCTTAAAGACCCAACCAAGGGCTTATCTACCGAGACCACGCGGCAACAAAAGCGTAAAGGATGCGGACTGGAGGAGGCTCCTCGGAGCTGGACTGAGATCCCCGAACCGTCTGTGACCACCGGCTTGGTCCTTATCGACAGGTCGTATCACCCTCCCCGTGCACGTGGTTGTGTCGTCTTACGTGTCCCTATTTCCCGAACCCGGACGCTTGCTTAAGGATCCTGGCTCTCAATAAACTGTCACCATATAGTACCCGCCTGACTGTGGAGTCTGAGTAGTGGTCGTTTCCCCTCCCCCCCCTTCTTTTGGTACTATACGGTGCATGACACATCCCCCGGAGCTCATTTTCCACCCATTGACCACGGTGAAGGAACCAAGAGCTGAAAAGCTTCCCAGATGCAACGTGGTCCTTCTCCACCCCCCTCGTGGTGGGTAAATAACAGTGGGACTCACCAAACAGATCGCCTGCGCCGGGAGATAAGGTTTTAAGTCAACTGGTATTTGCGGAGGTGGGCAAACTCATCACGGGGAAGCGGTGTTGAAGAAGAATCGCAGCCGGCGACTCCACCGCTGTTACTGCTTCCAGCTGGAGAAAAAGCCACCCACCAGCCAGGGGACAATTAATGAGGCAAATCACCGGCCGGTGGAAGGATCCGTGGCCACCATCCACCTCGTTTTCCAGTGAGGACACGGGGATGGGGAAGGACAGGAGGGTTGCAAACGCATGGAGGGGTTCAGGTAGGACCCGGGATGGTGGAGGCACCTATCCAGCGTTTGGCACTGAAATGATGGAGTAGTTGAGGTGGGACAGGGTGAATCCTCCAAAGCAGGCAGAGGACAACCAGGGATCTACAAATGAGCGGACAACTTGCAGCAGCCGTGCTCGATAGATAAGGAACTGGCCGGAGAGCCGCACACAAAGAGTTATAGGCAACATCTCAATGCCCAGGTGGAAACCAGTAACGAGTGGAGTCCCTCAAGGGTCCATACTGGGACCAATGCTATTTATTATCTCCACCAACAACACGGATGGAGCACACCCTCAGCAAGTTTGCGGGTGACAGCAACCTGAGTTGGTAACTTGAGGGAAGGGATGTCGTCCAGAAGGACCTCGACAGGCCAACATGGCTTCTTGATGAGCCAACGTGAACCTCATGAAGTTCAGCGAGGCCAAATGCAAGGTCCTGCACCTGGGTTGGGGCAACCCCCAGTATCACAAACCGGGGGACTGAGAGCAGCCCCATGGAGAAGGACCTGTTAGAGCGGGTCCAGAGGAGGCCACGAAGATGATCCAAGAGCTGGAGCACCTCTCCTATGAAGAAAGGATGATATAGTTGGTGTTGTCCAGCCCGGAGAAGCGAAGGCTCTGGGGAGACCTTCTTGTGGCCTTTCCATATACAAAAAAAGGCTTTTAAGAAAGATGGAGGAAGACTTTTTACCAAAACCTGTAGGACAACGGGCAACAGTTTTAAACTGGAAGAGGGTAGATTTAGACTGGAGTTAAGGAAGAACTGTTTTATGATGAGGGCGGTGAGACACTGGACCAGGTCGCCCAGAGATGCTCCATCGTTGGGAGCGTTCAAGGTCAGGCTGGTTTTGAGCAAGCTCATCTAGCAGAAGATCTCCCTGCCCACGGCAAGTTGAACTAGACGATCTTTGACAAGGGGGACAAGGGGTCTCCAACCCAAACCATTCTATGAAAACCTCCCTGCTCATCCAAGAGCCCTTGGAGGAGAGTTTTTCCCAAAGCCGAGTCAGGGATGGACCCAACGGGGTCTCCCACGGGTGACGAAGATCTCCCACCCCGTAGCAGGACATCCCCCGCAAGAGCATCCGGTGCGCGCAGGGGGTTTTCACGATGCCAAGGACATCCCAGTATAGCTCCACACCAGCGCTGGGGACCACCCAGTCCCTGCCGGAGCTCCTCATCCCCCACCACCCTCGTGGCACCGGCGGCACGGCTTCCCCGGCACCGAGTGGTGAGGGAGAGGATGATGCCTTTGCCCTGCAAGCGCGCAGCCGCCCTCGGCAGAGCTGGAGGAGCGTTTCCGTTTTGAGAAGAGGGGATTTCAGCGAGGCCAGGCGCAGGTGGCACAGTTTCGCTCCGCTCAGCACGGCTGCGGCTTCACCAGCAATACCGAAAACACATGGGTCACCACCGGTGCGGCACAGCCCCCACCTGCTCCCTCCCAACACAGCACCAGTCCCACACCAACACACGGTGGAGCACAACCACCCCCCCAGTTTGGGGACACCTTCGGTTTGGGGTCCCGACGCCACGCTGGGGGGGACAAAGGGTCTCCAAAAAGCCACCGGCTGGACCCACCATCGGGTTTTGCGCCTGTCTGTGGTGCTGAAGCCGGGCAGCGGCGTGTGGATGCCGGCCCGGCATTCGCACTCTCACTTCTCCTTCCATCAAATCCACGTGTTTCTCACCGTACCGCGATTCCCGTTTCACCGCGAGATGCTGAGAGTTGGGGAACATCTCTGACACCAAGAGAGCAAACGCCCACCGCAAACCGCCCCGGCGCGATGGTGCGACCATCAGGCAAACCAACCGAATCAACCCGAGCATCACCGGGCACACACGAAGCACCGGGAGACGTCCCCGTCCCCCAAGAAGCCACCCCAACGGCGCCGACCGGGGACTTACCGGCCACGTCGTGCGCTTCCAAGGCAACATCAGGCTCCTGGCGGGAGAGTGACGAGAAGAAGTCGGGGTCCTCTTGCAACGGGCGCAGCTCGGCGCCGGAGGGTCCCTTCCCCTCCCTGCTCATCGTTGCCAGATCATCCGCGGCGTAGAAAGCATCTTCCTCGAGCTCCGTCTCCGTTTCCACCGACGTCCCAGATAAAGCCGGGTTCTCCAGGGGCTTTTTTGCATCTTGAAGGAAAGCGGCTCTTCGTTCTTCGCCTTGGGGGCACTCAAGGGCAGGAAAAGTCTCTTTGTTTGGCTCCGGTGTCATTAACAGGGCTCTGCCTCCATCTCCTTGGCGCTCTGAGAAATTAGGGACAGCTTTCTCCATCCCTCGCCGATTGTGCTGTGTCACTCGGAAAAAAACACCGCGCCGGCACTCAGGAGGGTTGGCGGCCAGGGACTGCTGGCAAAATCTACAAGAGATAAAAGAGGAGAAAAAGAGAAAAGAGGCTGGATTTTGCCGAGGTGGAGGAGAAACGGTTGCGGCTCTGCCCATGCCGGGAAACCCAACGGTCTCGATATCTCACCGTGGTCACCAAAGCTCTCAGTGTCCCAGAGCCGGGCAAGACATCGGGTCCCATCACTCTCCCCTTGCAAAAATTGGTGCCACCAGTAGCCAGCACGGTGCCGGGTCCCTGCCAGAGTCGAAGGACCCCAAAAGGTGCCACTTCTCCCCAACACGAAGCTTTTTCCCGCTCCCCCTCTGCGCCACGATTTGCCGGCACAACAGCATCCCCTCCATCCCCTGCCACACACCCCCCAAAAAACCCCAGTCGCCCTCAAATTGATTATTTATCCCCAAAAAAATTCAATCCCGCGATGCAGCGCGGGGAAAGCCACCGGTTTGCACCCCTGGGAGCTCTGCTCCGCCGCCAGCTGCCCCAAAACCAGGGCGGCTGCCCCCAAAACCAGGGCGTGGGGGGGGATTTGGGGCTGCCGTGCCACATCCTTCCCCTGTATGAATTCAAGCGGATGGGACAAAGTGGTACCTTCGGGCTGGGGGACCCTTGAAGGGTTTGGGGACCCCTCGAAGGGCTTGGGGGGCAACCAGGTACTGGCCACCCAAGTGTGGAACGCCCCCCTCAAAAATAAACCGTCACCCCAAAACACCTTCCACCACCCGACGCTGCCGCAGCTGCAGGTTAAAAGGTGAAAAATAAAATCGTTGGCAGAAATAAAGGAGAGCGCTCAGGGTCCTGATCTCTGCAGGGCGGAGATGCCGAATCCTGACCCGGGCGGGCAGAGAAGGGAAAAATAGGAGGAAAGAGGCGCTAAAAAGCTGGGCTTATCAGCTCCACTGGAGGATAAAGGCACAGGAGGAGAGCGAAGGAGCTAAATTTACCCCGCCGAGGAAGAAGGCAGAGAAGAGACTATAAATACCTTCAAGGTAAAGAATGCAAATGAAGAGGGAATTATTCGAGCTGGCGCAAGAGCAAGATGTTTCCCCGCCCCGGGGCCAAGGGAGGAGAGCGATGGAGCAAACCCCAATGCCCGGCAGCCACCCTGAAATCTCTCCCGTCCCGAAGCAGCCGGTGCCCGTCGCTTCCCCGGGGAACGATGCCCGGAGCCAACATGGGTTAGTTTGCCAATAAGAAGTGAAAATAGAAATTCAATTAAATCAATTAAAAATACGTTGGCTCCAAACGCCGGCATCTTTCTTCCGTGAGGATCGGTTGCTCCAGCTGGCTTCGGTTCGTACGGAGCCTCCTCCAGCGTCGCCCCAAAATGGCACCCGATGCCCACGCCGTGCCGGCAGGATGCTCTCACCCCGAAGAACGGCGCCGCATCGACGCTTCCCCCAAGCCCGGGGGAGGTTTTTGGGGAGCAAATCCCAAATTTGTGGATGTTTAGGGGTTTGCCGCGGTGTCAGCTCGGTGCCGGCGGGCTGGGATGAGGGCTGCTCCGCCAGGATGAAGCCACCCGCACCAGCTTACCGGGCGGAAGCAGGGGATCGCGGCGTCACCCCATCTTTAACCACGGTCTGGCTTAAATCTGGTCCCCGCGGCCCGGCGGGATGGGGCCCGGGCAGCCGGCACGGCACCGGCGTTTCTCCCGGTGTTTCCTGGCGTGCTGTCAAACGACGAGGAGTCACCCCAAAAACACGTTGCCCCGCTGCAAGGAAATAAAAAAGGCACGGCAACGTGCCGGGCGCGTGGTAGCGATGCGCCGGCAAAACTGGCAGGGGACAGGCAGCAGCACCCGGGATCCAGGGGGAGAAAAGCCATCGCGGGGTTTTGCTTTTTAATTGCAGCCGCATCTCAGCCCGGCCGGAGACCCCGGCACATCCCCGAGCCGGCGGGATCCATCCAGGCGAGAATGGGTGGAAGAAAACCCCCACGCAATAGGTTTATTTTCAAAAGCTGCGGGGTTTTTTTGGGATGCGGGTTTGACCCGAGCCAACTCCAGGACAGAATCTGGCATCCCTCAGGGACCACCGGCTCCTTGCCCCGGCGATAAATCGCAGCATCCCTTCGGCACCGCGCT